CCCCAAAATGTTAAATGGCGAAGTCCCTGCAGCCGGGAACGTGTCTCTCTAAACAAACACCGCCCCGCCCCCCGGCACAGACGACACCCCGACCGCGCCCAGCTCCGCTTTGGGTAGCTGCAATGACCTCTGCTGTGCCGCCGCTGGCATCGGGGCCGCGGGGGGCTCAGAACCAGGGCGGATGTTGGCTTTGCCCAGGACCCGCCCCGCCCCCCGCAGGATCCGTGCCCCGGCAGCGCTGCCGGCCTGGGGCGCATTCGGGGACTCGTCTCGCTCTGGTTCTGAACCAGGGTCGTGTGGAGCCAATGGAACGCCGGAGTCAAGCCGGGTCCGAAATGCCAACAAACGAGTTTCCGTGTAAATCCAGCCCCTGCCGGAGGTTCGAACTGCCCCTCTAGGTAAAGGCAGCCCTGGGGAGCCCCCCTCCGTGCGTCCCCAGCACCTCAGGGCGCCGCTGTGAGAGGCCGGCCATCCCCCTGGCATCGTGCCTTCGCAGGCTGGGTGCCGCAAGCCCGAGGGCTCCAGCCGCGGCCAGGGCCGGCGGGCGTTAAGCGAAGCAGGCTTGTTAAAATAGAGTTTATTGCGAGCTCGCCCACTGCGATGCTTTAATCCACGGCACACAGAGAACACAGGTAACAGCGGCGCGGGACGGAGCGACAACACACCTGGCCCCGTGGGACGCACACCTGGCAGCGACCCCCCGCCGCCCAAAGAGCGAAGGAGGAGCGGGGGGTTTATACCGCCCCCGACCCTCCTGCCCCCGCGCTCCGGGTCCCCTTCGCGCCCCAGGGGCGCCGGGCCGACCCCCCCCCCGCCCCCAGCATTGACACTTGTTACAAGAATAAATTTAAATGTTCAACCTAAAAACACCCCCGCCCCTCTCTCCTCCCCAGCCCGCCCTCACTTCCCGATGTTCTGGAGCAGCAGTTTATTGCTCAGGGCTTTCTGGGCCAGTCTCTCCTCCCGGGACATCTCCAGGAACTCCCGCAGGAGGTGGAAGGTCAGGTCGAGGGAATTGGGTCTGCCGTCTTTCCGCCTGGAGGAGTAGGGCGATCGCTCCTTCCTTCGCAGCTCCGGGGGGCTCTCCGCGCCCCCGGCCTCGCAGGGACCGAGCGGTGTGTGGAGAGAGGGGGGCCCCGCTTCTGTGCCCGCTGAAGGCGTCGGGGGCTTGGCCCCCAGCCGCGGTCTCCTCGGCCACAGTGCCCAGGCTGGGTCGGTGACTAGAGCGAGTTCCGGGGCAGCTCCCCGGGGCCGCTCCAGCGGGGAGCCCTTCTCCGACGGGAGAAACAGCAGGACCAGGACGGAGGCAGCCGAAATCATCCTGATCCTCATCGCCTCTGCTTCTGGGGCTGGGCGCCTGCGAAGAGAGCCCGGGAGGGGTTACCCAGAGCCAGCGGGGCGCTGCGAGCTCCGCCACGGGCAGCCCTGACCCAGGCACCTCCCCCGTGCGAGCTGCATCGAGCTCCCCGAGCTCTCCCTGGGGCGGTTCCCCGCGCGGCCAGGAGCCAGCCCTGTCCCCGTAACACCTGGCAGGGAGGCGATAGAAACTCCCCCAGATCTCCGCCCTCAAAGCCGGGCGCCCCAGGCTCGCCCCAGCCAGGCCAGCCCCCCGTGCTCCCCAGCCCTGCCCCGGGGGGTACCAGCCACCCCAGAGCTTCGGTCACATCGACCGGGGGAGGCGCCGCTTTCCTGCCAAGTTTGCTTAGCTGCGGCCGCTGGACTAGGGGCTTCGGGAGCAGAGGGGAAGCCAAGGAGCGCCCCGCATCGCCCTTGGAGAGGCTGTCTGCCGGGACACACCCTGGCCTGGCCCCGGGCACAGCGCTGCGGGGGGACTCACAGTTGCGGTTCTCTGGAGAATTCAGCCGCTGGTCCCAAGCGCTTTACACATCGAAACCATTGCGAGCCATACAGGCAGGGCTATATATACCCCCCGCCGCCTGCCCCACCACGTGACGGGCTGCTCGGTTCCTCAGACGTGTGGGTTTTTTTGGGGGGGGGGGGCGCAGATCTACTCCCCGGATCGGGGAGCTGCTGGAATCGTGACGTGCTGGAGACCAGCTGGGCTCCCAGCGGAGCGGCGCCGGATCGCTGGGCTGCACACCGGGGACGGGGTGGGGACGCTGATGGATGGGGGGGAGAGGATTAATTGGCACAAACATCTGCCGGTGCAGCGAGGCGGGCGCCGGCCTAAGGGCTGGAGCTGTCCGAGGTGCTGACTAGGGTGACCAGACAGCGAGTGTGAAAGATCCCGACGGGGGTGGGGGATAATAGGAGCCTATATAAGAAAAAGCCCCAAATATCAGGACTGTCCCTATAAAATCGGGACAGCTGTTTACCCTAGTGCTGACAGGCCGGAGGGTTGTTCCCAGGAGGAGCGTTCCCACGGCAGGGACAGGCCGGGGTGCCGTGCTAGGGGGTCCGGGGAACCGGAGAAAACATGGCATTCTGTGTTTGTTGTCTTGGCCCGGCAGGCTGGGGGGCCAGGCTACCTCTGTCTGACATACACAGAAGCTGGCTTTCTATGCCTTCTTTCCTTAACAAATACACCGGTCCCCACCTCTCTCGCCCCATCCCCACCCCAACATTCGGTGCCGAAAGGCAGGCCCCGAATTCCCTTCACAGGCACCCGAAAGTGGCCTGGTTCCCGCCCTGCGTTGGAGCCTGCTGGGTGTTCCGCACTTTTGCAAAGAAGCCACTTAGTTTGAAGGAGTCTGGCTAAGGATTTGGGGGCTCAATTTTAGCCATTCTTAAAAGAATCTGTACCTCGATAGGCCCCACCACCCGCCGATACATCAGTGCATGTGTTGGGTATGCATAGGGGTGTGCATGTGTGCTGTGCAACAGAACAAATTATCCATATTATTTATATTTCTCTCTCGGCCTATGTGCCCAGGCAATGTCGGAGACTGCCCACTACCATGGCCTGCGTTGGACTAAGCCAGTGGTTCTCAACCTATTTACCATTGTGGGCTGCATATGCAGCGCTCTGTGTTTTATGGGGGCCCTATCCGCACAACAGCTATACTACCTGTCTGGCCCTGAGCCTGTCACATGGGCTGACGCTGTGTGCTGATTGGGCTGCAAGCTGCCCCGCGAGTGGTCGGTCCAGAACCACTGGACTAACCAATGAAGCTTTGCAGATTTAGATGAGTAAAAAATGTGAGCTGAGGTGTCTCTTTCATAAGTTGTGAAGCTAAGTGATTT